TAATATACTATTGTCTTAATATAAATAATGTTCATAATAAATAATGTTTAACATTTTTGCTGTCGTTTCTCGAGAGAAAGAAATATATAAATCTAGTTTCCTATGCTAAAAAATCGTCTTTTAAAAAATAAAAAATTACCAATAGTTATTTGGTAACATAATTTTCAATAGAAAACTGTCTTTTGACATAGCGTTTTTTTGGTCCGAAGTAAAACTTTGCTAAGCATTTATTCTGATGTAGCTTCTTATTGCCTCGTGAATTAAATATTATTTTCCGGATTAAAATTTAAAAACAAAAAAGAAAGAAAAAGACGCAGAAAAATAATTTTACCATTGTTCACTTTTGATTAACTTTCTTTTTATTTTCATTTTATTGCTATCTCGGTGTTTTAGTCGATTTTATATTCTATGATCGTAAAAAAGCAACATGTTTAGCAATGTCCTCCGATGAATTGAATAATCACATCCCGTTTCTTTGGGAGATATGTCTGATTTGGAGAGCAGATTATCGATAAAGCCATAAACATCCATCAACTGACACAATTTGGAATTAATTACATAGTTTTATTCTTCTTTAATCGTTCTACTATACGCTATGTTGTTTATTTACGTGTAATACAAGACATACTTGTCAACGACGTAATAATAGTCGACATAATAGTCTAGCCGTTTGAATTTGTTAGATGCAGAATTTTCTTTTCTGATAGACTTTTTTTTACATCTCAGAAATAAATACTGAGACGTTGTTACGAGGACACTCATCCCATTTCCGCAGCATCTCAAGTTAAAAACAGCACGTTCAGACGTTTGCTAGGAAAACCGGGGTAACTGAAACACGAGTCTTGCTATAGGGCAGACATGGGTAAATTGCGGCGCGCGGCTCACATGTGACTCAGTTGGATTTCTGAATAGCACGTCTAATTTCATGGGGAAAATAACGTTTATTAAAATGTTGTTAACTCACACATTCTCTTACATAACCGCATACAAAAACAATGATTAAGTGCAATGTTTCTCGAATTTTATAACTTTTCGTTGAAGTTATCGTTGTCAACATTTTAAACCACTGACGATTTTCGCTAAACGTGTAAACATCGCTACGTGTAAACATCTTTTGCTTCAGAAACAGAAAACACCAATGATAATTATAATTATTATTATTTTTTTTTTTGAGAATAAATATACTTCTTTTACAAATATTTTCGTATTTTCAAATAAATAAATGAAAAACAACTCACAGGCTGCAGAATATAAGATACACTTTTAAATACAAATAACATTTAAATAAAATACACATACATATTATTAAACAGCGAAAAGATATAAAACTTCACTGTAACTAATGGTAATGGTAATATTAGCCGTTTCCCTCCAAGGAAATATTTGGCATTCATTGACCGATCAGCTAGTACGATATTCGTTTGAAATTTATAAAATTTATAAAGTGTTTCAACCTAGAGCAACCATGGGCAAACTGCAGCCCATAAGTCACATTCGGCCCAATTGGCTTTCTGAATGGTATGCCTAATTTTATGAGGAAAAAAGCGTTTATTAAAATGTTGTTTGTTTCCTTTCGTTCTCACTTGTTCACTCACACATTCTCATACATATCGACATACATAAACAATAATTAAGTGAAATGTTTCTTGAATTTTTGTAACTTTTCGTTGAAGATAACGTTGTAAGCATTTTAAGACATTGGCAGTTTTCACTAAGGAAGATCATACGCGTAAATATCTTTCTCACTGGAAACAGGAAAAGTCAATAATATTTATTTTTCTCTCCAGAATATATTTCTTCTTTTACAAATATGGTTCTCACTGTTTTTTGTTTCTTTTTTTGTTGGTCCACACTGTTTTAACTGAGATCTTGGGAATGAGCAAACTATCTGCAAGATGGGTCCAAAGAAATACTGACACCAGAGCAGAAGCTGAAAAGGGTTGACATTTCCAGGACACTTCGGATTCGCTTCCAGGCTGACTCTGAGAATTCTCACTGCAGATCAGTAACTCAAGATGAAAGCTGGATTTACCAATTTGAACCTGAATCAAATATTCAAAGCAAACATTAGAAACATTCTAGTTCTCCGCCCGAAAATGTTCAAGCAGTCAGCGTATGTTGGTAAGGTTTTGTTTTTGGGATGAAGGTGTAATCATGATAGACTAACTGGAAAAGGGATAAATTATTAATGGACAGTACTATGAATCAGAATTAAGAAAACTGAAGGAATCGATCAAGTAAAAACGAAAAGCTGAGGATAGGTGTGCTTTTGCTTCAGGATAACGCGCCCGTTCACACGGCTCAGGTTGCAGTAGCTGAATCATACAACTCTGGTTTTGAATTGCTACCACATCCTACTCACTCACCAGACCTAGCTCCATCTGACTTCTTCCTGTTTCCTAAACTCAAATCTTACCTGCGTGGTCACCATGTTAGAATCAATGATGTGATCATATATGCTGTGGAGGAGTTTTTGGACGAACAGGACACCATCTTCTGTCGTGGTGAGATTGCAATGCTTAAGTATCGTTGGAACAAGTGGATTGATCATAAGAGGAACTATATAGAAAAATAGTGAAAAACTGTATTGTTTCTCCAACTCATTCTGGGTAAGGCTTAGAACTTTCTGAACGGTCCTCGTTTTCCCAAGTGCAAAATAAGTGATAAAAATTATATCACGACTTCAATAAGAATATGGGATGTTTTGGAGGTAATTCACTGTATCATTATAAATGGTTAGTTTTCTGATAGATGTTTTCTAGATGACAACTAATGATGACGTTTCTCAATTTAATAGTATGGCTATTCAGACGGACGTAAAATTACAGGGATAAAATAATCCAGAGACATCATGCTGACAAACAGCGAATAACAAAGGGAAATAATCAAGTGATTGTGTAACGTGGCCTACATACCTGCAGCTCGCCAAAGACAGCTTTATTAAAATAGATGCAGAATCATTCATTTTTCAATTCTCGCTGTTATTATTTAAGGAAAATATCTCAGAGCAGAAAGAATAATGCAAAAGGATGAATAGAGTTTTCAGATTTGTAAAATCTCAATGAAAATTTTTGAAAATCTTTATTAAAACTTTTCGGATGATCATTTTGCATTGTAGTTTAAGTCTTTGATATTATTTAGGAAATAATATATTAATTCTTTAAATTTAAAATTAAATCTTCAATATTATTTAAGAAATAAAATATTGACAAACAAAGCAAGAATTCACTTTATTTTGCAGCCTTAAATTTCATTACTAAAAACAATTTCGATTTCAACCGATTTTATTGCTAGAGATTCTTTTAAAACATGGAATTTATAAGCAGTGCCCTACAACGTAACAACTACCTTGGGTACATGGCAGCAGCCTCAATAAACTGGGAAAAGCGGATACAAGAGGAGGACAACAACACTCCGAAAACAGTCTGCCTGCTCATATGAAGGGGTTATCGGAGAAAATACAAAGGATCTGCGTTCCATATACCATCAGGGAAACCGTCAAAAGCTGGACGACACACCTGTACCGAGTAATACCACCCATAGAGGAGAACATGACTAAAGACTGTGTGTACGCTATCCCGTGCAGCTACGGAAAGAAATATGAAGGGGAGATAGGCAGCCCCCTTAAGGTAAGTCTTCAAGAACATCAAAAAGCTGTAACACGAGGAGAAGTGGAAAAAAAATCAGGCGTGGCTGGCCATATATGGAGAGAAAAGGGAAATCACCACCCTCTGTGGGATCAGGTTGAAATCATAGACAAAGAACATCATTGAACAATTCGTAAACTTAAGGAATCAGCGCATATGCTAGGCCACAAAATCCCCCGAGCCGACCAAGCATAGAAATGAATACAATATGGGAACCAGTAATAAGGAGTACCAGAGAAAAGCAATAATAACAACGAAAATTGCAGTATGAGCTCTGGTAAAAATAACTACTTCAATCGGATGTAAAAGTTTACGCAGAATGTATACCACTAGAATTTGGAAATATTCGAGAATATGTTTATAAAAAGATTATTTTTTGTCAAATACATAGAAACTGTCATAATCTTTTCTCTGATTAATAAATTGTAGTAGTTATATAAATATTGGGTATGAAACTTAGAAATGTATGTATTAATACTTAAAAATGATAGATATTTGTAATTTTATTTCGTGAGTAATTTTTCCTTGCATTAAGCCACAAGTGTTCGATTGGAAGAATTTACACCTTCATAACGAACCTGGTGTTTGGTTCTAGCCCCGATGTTACAGTGGCGCCCTTTTTCAAGTCGAAAACGATTGAACATGATAAGAATTTAAGTTGACCCGACATTGAAAAAAACGCCATAGAATGTAGAGGATATCCAGAACTCATCAACCAGAACAATCACCTAAAATTCTTCAGCTCTATCAAATGATTGGAATCGAAACTGTAAATGAAATTTTAAAGTAATTGCAGACAAACTGAATAGCCTCCACGAAGAGATTTTCTGAGAGGCTTTTGTGGCATGGAAGATTGTTGTGTTTACCGTTTAGTGTCTTTTTCGAATGGGATGATTGCATGGATATAAGATATAAAAATATGAATATAACCTATGCACATTATACAGCTGCACCTGGAAAGATGCAAGAAAAAAAAAGAAAAAAAAAGAAGCATGAAAAGAATGAGTAACCTTTGAACAAGGTAAATAAACAAACCGTGATGTTTGGTTTTATAAAACTTTCCTTCGCGTATTTAATAATGCATAATCCAGATGCGCATGTCACTACTGGTGTCTCATATATTTGTTCGACAAGATTAGAATTAAACAAAAAGCGGATCGTAAAAATCAATTTTAATCGATAATGGAAGTCTGAAAAATGTGATTGATTGTATCTTAAGTTGATTCCCTCGCAGATGTTCAAACTGCAGAGAATTTTTTTTTCTTTGAATTCTTTTGGATAAGGCGTTCTTCGCTTTTTTTTTTATCCCGATGTGAAAATATAATGACAGATACACATTGAACGAAACAACAGTATCCTCTCTGTTCATCTTACTTATATCTATCTCAGTCCTTTACTTTCTTTTTCTTTCTCAGTCTCTCTGTCATTCATGTCTCTAGAGAGATATGATTGAGATGGACTAAGAAAGAGAGAGGGAGAGAGAGAGAGAGAGAGACAGGGGGAGGGAGAAAAGGATAAAAGATGGACAAAGAAATGGAGAGAGAAATGAACGAAGAGATGGACTAAGTAAGAGAGGGAAATAGTAGACCTGTCTCTTTCTTTTTTTGTCCACATCCCTCACATATACCTATATCATTCCGTTTTTCTTTCTTTCTTATTTTCTTTCTTTCTTTCTTTCTTTGTCCTTATCTGTGATATATACCTATATCAATACGTTTCTTTATTTCTTTCTTTATTATTTTTCTTTCTTTCTTTGTCCACATCACTGATATATACCTATATCAGTTTTTGCTTTCTTTCTTTCTTTCTTTCTTTCTTTCTTTCTTTCTTTCTTTCTTTGTCTACATCACTGATATATACCTATGTCAGTTCTTTCTTTCTTTCTTTGTCCATATCACTGATATATACCTATATCAATACGTTTCTTCCTTTCTTTCTTATCAATTTTTATTCTTTCTCCACGTCACTCATATACACCTACCGATATTAGTCTGTCTGTCTTTCTTTCTTTCTTGGTCTTTATTTCTAATATATGCCTACATCAATACGTTTCTTTCTTTTTTTCTTTACTTTTCTTTCTTTCTTTGTCCACATCACTCATATATACGTATATCAGTCCGGTGTTTTTCTTCCTTCTTTCTTAATTCATGTTGTGTCTGTCAGGCTATTCATTTTTATTTTTATTTTTCATAAACAAACTAATTTAGTTAAAACTTAGATCAGAACAATAAAGAGAAACAGATGATTGAGTTGCGCCAATCATTCAAATTTTGGAAAGACATGTTTGCCTCGAATATAACCATTCAAGATTTTTTTTTGTTATCTGGGCTTCAATATTAGTCTCTGACACTGGTTATAAATACGCAACTTCTTCAGCCACTAGAAAGAGAATAACAAACTTATTTACGCAACACAGCTTCTTTCTTCCTAATAATTTATTATGTTATGTAGGCTACCTGTGAAATTAGACGATGCTTGATACCAACTATGTATTGATACGTGTAACAATAATGGCCTCGAGGATGAAAGTGTTGGTTAGTGAAATAGGTGACATAATAATCGTGGTTTGGCATGACGTTACATTTTCCAGAATTGAGAAAGTGTTATTCCAATGCGCCTTCGGATTTTCCACACTGGAATTGCGAGAAAAATGCCATCCGAAAGATAAATAAAGTATCAAGAAACAGAAAAAAAATCGTGAGAAACAAAGAAGAGAGTGCTGGCCTGTTATATAATAACAATCTCCCTGAATGCTGGGCAAGTTTCTTCCAAATAAAGAAGGCACACATTTGATTCTCCAGAAGAATGTTGAGAATACCATGAACTCAAAATGTGAGTAACGAGAAAGCTTTAAGGAAAGTTGAAACAAAAATGGTACATATGCTTAGAATCAGTAAAAGACAGCTGAAATTGCTATGTGACGTCGTCCCCCGGTCGCAGCGCCGACTGTGACGTTCTATCCTGATCTACCACGGCGCCAGTTGTGACGACCCCAAACAGCACCAATTGTGACGTCCTCGCCGCGGCGCCAGCTGTTCACTCCTCGCTGCTCCGTTCGGGTGTCGCTGCTCCAAACGTGACGTCCGCCTGTCGCATCAGTCGTGTTGTCTCGTCCTGTGACGACCAACTGGCTTGGTATCGGTCGCGGTACCCAAATGTGACGTTCTAACCTTTTGGTGATTCGGGTGGGAATCTGGTTAGATTTGATATCAGCCTCGTCGTTCCCAATTCGCTTCCAACGCCTGGTTACCAAGGTAACTGCATTGATCTCCAGTCCGCCTACCCACGTTGTGAATTGATCTTAGGCAGACGAGATCAAACAGTGGTTGGGGCCGTAATGCAAATTGAGTTCAACGGGGGTGATACTACACAAATATGCATAAAAGAAAATAAAATGAAAACTCAAAAAGTTCAAGTATCAAAGAAAAACGTAACAAACTTTATGTCTAGTTGTTCGATACATAGGACTGCATCTATCTCCAGACCCGTTCTGTGGATTGTGACAAGTTGTTTTCCGTTAGACAAGTTTTAACGCTTCAAGTTATTTGCTCTCTAAGAAATTGGTGTTTCGGTGTGTCTTTGGACGAAAGTCGAAAAACTTATTTCGGTGGTCTGGATCTAAGTCGCTCTTCAAAATAATTGTTCTTGGGTTGAAGAGGAGTCCGGAATTTGCGTGAATCTTGGTCAGCTATCTGCGAGGCGGCTTCAACTGCGAGCTTCGAGCTTCTCTGCTGCAACTCCAACTCAACTCTCCGCTGGAGCCCGAACTCTGATTTCTGCCTGTTGGGGCCTCGCTTTTATTGACGCCGACCAAAACCGGGGTGGGTCTGTCGGCGTCGGCGGGGGGGGGGTCCTCGATAATTCTAAATACATCTCCACCTCTTTTATTTCTGGTTAGGGATTTTCCACTCTTTTCCATTTTTGGGAACCTTTCCTTACTCCCACTTTCTCACCATACTTCAGAGGGCGTGAGCTGCCCTCCCCACTTCTTCGTAGCAGCTTCTCATACTTATACTCTGTATGAGGCGTCAACAGCCTCCTTCGTGCGTCACGTGATCACCACTCGACCAATGAGGTCTTAGTCGGGTATCTTTCCTCCTCTTTCGTGCGTCACGTGATCACCACTTGACCAATGATGTCTTAGTCGGGCGTGAACAATCCGCGGCTTTGTTTCGGGGAAAAAAAAATATCTTGCTTAACTAAAAAAATTATCTCTTCTCTTTCCCTTTTCTTCCGCTTTAATCGCCGTTATCATTTTTCTAGCCGCAAACGGACAATATGACAACTCTTGTTCTACACGTGGTTTTTGTCAGGTATTTTATCGCTAATTATCAAAATGGGTGGTCTTCTTAACACGGCCTCAAAAAAGAAATATCTGTAAAGTTTCAGTCAGTCTGTCGCCTCCAAGGAAGAAGAAAAAACACTTCTGGGTCCCCATTCATTTTCCTTCGGTACATATTTCTGATAACATAATTTTATTATCGCAGGCCAAAGTTGTTTCGTCGAAAAAAAATCGGTCAGCGGACACGGGTTGTGTGGCTTTTAATTTTTCATATCTACCCAAAGTCCTGAAGTTACACCTGTGTTTTGTCAATTATCAAAATTAACGTTTTCAATTGAATTTTTCGTTGGCCAGTCGACCAGCCGTTTTGTTTACGTACAGCCGTTATCAAAACACATCTGTTTCTTTCTTTCTTTCCCTTTCTTCTTACCCAGAATTTCCCTGTCATTGTAATGACACCCTTTCGCCATGGTTACTTATCAATATATTCATTGTCTCTTAGCCGTGTGTGTGTTCTGCTGATCACCCGCGATTTGTCTCGCCTTTCTTTCTGCCTTCTTTTCTTTCTTTTCCTTTTTCTGCCTCGTAAATGGTGCCACAGCTAGGATAAATTTGAGGAAAGTGTGCTTGGAGAATATGACACTCACAAGACATATTTAAACAGAGAAGTAGAGAAGGAAACAGCGAGTAAGCGTATGTAAATGTCTGGCAGAACAGGGATTGTTAGGGATAATGAAAACACAAACTTATCTAGCCGCAAAGGATAGGAAGTTGTGGAGAGACATGATCACTGACTTCCTGAAAGGAGGTGGCACATAGAATGATAACACTATTTACATTGTTCGGACTATCACCCTCATCTTTGTTGCCATATGTATCACAACCTTTCGGTCGTTGTACGTCCTTCCTCAAGTGGTTGGAATGTCGAACTGAACCCTTTATTTCGCTCCCTGAGATAGACTGTTCTAGTTCCTCGTGCCATGTCTAAGGCCGGAGCGTACTAATTTTTATCTTTATTTTGTACATTTATTGCTTTCCCGATTCCACTGAAGGCAAGTGCCCACTTCCCAGCCCAGGAATTGAACTTACAACCACTATGTCACCAAATTCACAAACCTACGCTTCTGTCCACTGGGCTATTGTCTCGTAAATATATTTACCGGGCCTCCCTTTTCTTTCTATATGCCGTGTCCTTTCAAGACGTAGGCGATCATAGCTCTTCACCTAGGGATCTTAGTGTCGCATTTACCGTCCTCTGTTAGAACGCTTTCCAGATAATTAAACTTCCGAGTTTGCATGATTCTAGTGTTCCTGGCCTTCAAAAACCTAAACTTAAGCTTTAAGCCTAACCTTCACTGCTGATCAAACTGCCATTGCTGATTAGGCTGCAGCTGCTGGCTGTCATGTGTTGACAGCTTCTGCTACTCATGTTTTTCTTTGTTTATTAGCATTAATTCCCTGTACGTTACTCAGATCGATATACACCCGAAGAAGGCCGGAGGGTACAACGGCCAAAACGTTGTGATGAGAAAAAAAGATGACGACAATAGTCCGAATATAAATATATATAAATATATAAAAAATATCTTAGAGTTAACCTGTAGAAAAAGACTATATGTATAAAGGTAAAAGGCAATAGGAAAACTGTATTATTAGCCGATCTATTTCGTCCAATGTGGACTTTTTTAAGGCAAAAACAAAATGAATTTATTGAAAACAAAGTAACTATTAACAACAGACAAAATGTCATTAGCATCTAGAAGAATTTAGAAAACGTTATTGTATTCATATTTTCATATTCATATTTCGTAATTTTCACTTGACAATACGAATACAATAGCGTTTTCTAAATTCTTCTAGTTGCTAAGGACATTTTGTCTGTTGTTAATAGTTACTTTGTTTCAATAAATTCATTTCGTTTTTGCATTGAAAACGTTCACAATGGACGAAACACGTCGGCTTATAATACAGATTTCCTGTTGTCTTTTACAATTATACATATAAATGTATGCAATTTCTGTGATGTAATTCAGACAAAAAAATATTGGTAATATTTTTTATATTTCCCATATTTTATTAAAAATTTAATTTTTAATATACTATACATTTTTTTACGTTTTGGAGTATGACATTTTATTTTGTAGATGATGATATATATTGTATATGAATTTAATCAAATAAATGTATTTTTTGTGATACACATATAGAATTTCACCAAAAGTAAATGGTACAGTGTTAGTTGTCATTCTCGATTAAAGAGTCGAAAGCCATTGTGTATGGAAGTATATGTATAGATTTCGCTTGCTGAGACTAATAAAACAAATAGTTCTGAGATGATAGCTTCATGCAGTGGTCTGAAAGATACCAGAAAAAAGTATAAGGTGACAGACGACATATTTAATTATGTTAATGTTTATAAGAAATATGCCATTTTTATTTTTATATTTATTAAATAAAGAAATAATTTGTACCTTTACCTAATATACATATACATACACATATATACATACATACACACACACATATATATATATATATATATATATATATATATATATATATATATATATATATATATATATAATAATTTTTACATACGTCAAAACAAATTACTCACGACATAAATAATTATTTCTCTACTCTTGGTATTGAGACCTCTTTTGAATTAATGCTGTGAACGTGAGAATATTATATTATTTCGTTATCACTACATTCGGATACATACATACATACAGATATATATATATATATATATATATATATATATATATATATATATATATATGAAGAAATATAGTTTTAAGGTGTGCTATATTTATGGGATAAAGTGCTCAATATCAGAGATAGAGCGTATGTAAATATAAATATAAAAGTAAACATTGAAGTCAACACTCAGAGGCGACAGGCTTTT